ATATTTTTATTGAAGTAACAGTACTCAGTAAAGTTTAGTTTGTCTCGTTTTTGTGTCAGATTTTGTGACTTATTTCATGTTTTGTTTTCCACATTACACCTACTTTAAATTATAAATCAGATGTCACATCCAAACTGTGTCTTTGTTCTTGAGTACTTTTCCCAAATGCTTTTTTTTTTTACTCTTATTTGAGTAACTTCTCGAACCACTACTTTGTACTTCTACTTGGCTCGGCTTGGTGTGAGTTAGCTGGAGTTGTTGGAGATTGACAGTTTAATCATCCTTTTCATTTGTGAAGACGACGTCTCGGTTTTTTTCTGGTGCCAGACGGCTGAGCCACGCCGGCGCAGAAAACTATTAAACTGATAACAAAGATTTATAAAAAAGAGTGAGTATTGTCTGTGTTTAAACGTGACAGGTAGAGAAAAATGTCAGGGCCTCACAGTTTTGCTCACAGTTTGATGATTTTCTTCAAAGCTGAGTTGGCGAGCTAGCCAGGGCACGAGCGGGAGATGAGAGTACAGACGAGCAAAATGTTACATTAGCATTTACACGTGGTGCCAAACACAGAAAACAGATTACTGCTGATTTTTATCTTCTCAGGTTTGAGGATTCTTCTCTGTTGTTCATTCAAAGTCACTGCTGCTGGCGCTAAAACCATCTGTGTATCATTCGTTCACTCGTTTTTCAAAATAAAAACAAAAATAAGAACACGGAAAAACAACTGTGGCTCCAAAACCAAAATGAAAACACAGATAATGATTTGTTTTTTCAGTTTTTGATTTTCTGTTTAAAGGAAAAAAGGAAAAAAGACGGATAACTGTCCTTTCCTGTTTCCTTGACTTAAACTGTGATGCCGGACTGAACCAGGTCTAAACCAGGTCTAACCCAGGTCTATCAGGACTAAACCAGGACTAAACCGGTCTCAGTCCTGGTCTCTGTCCCAGACTGGTCCCGGTCCGAGTCCCGGTCTCTGTCCTGATCACCCGACAGTCTACACGGGCGCAGCTACGGGCCCGTCCCGACACTCAGTCCTGGTTTAGTCCTGGTTCAGTCCTGGTTTAGTCCTGTACAGTTGTAAGGGGGGGTTGTTGTACAGTTGTAGGGAGTATTATTTGTCACATTAGAGTGAGTTGTTGTACAGTTGTAGGGAGTATTATGTGTTACAATAGGGTGAGTTGTTGTACAGTTGAAGGCTAAATGCATTGTATAATTTATTTCTGTAAATCAGGGACTGCAGATGGAAACTAGATATTTAACTTTAACATCAATTTAAATGCAAACTAGTGAATCTGTAATCAGTTTTGGGGAGTAACAGATTACCTGTACCGGAGTTAAGTAATCAGAGTACAAATTATAATAACTGTATTCAGTTACAGTTACTGTTTCAGTGAGTGGTAATTGGATTACAGTTACTTTGTTGAAATAAATAGATTACATGGCGGTATTTTCCTGTTTTCACAGTTTGGGCTATTCTTCTCTTTTTTTTTTTTTTTTTTTTTCTCTGTAATTCCACTCATTGCCGGACACTAAACCAGGTCTAAACCAGATCTAAACCAGGTCTAAATCAGGTCTAAACCAGAAAACTAAACCAGGTCTAAACCAAGACTAAACTAGGTCTAAACCAGGTCTAAATCAGGTCTAAACCAGAACTAAACCAGTTCTAAACCAGGTCTAAACCGAGACTGAACCAAGACTAAACCAGGACTAAACCAGGTCTAAACCAACTAAACCAGGTCTAAACCAGGACTAAACCAGGACTAAACCAGGTCTAAACCAGTAAACCAGGACTAAACCAGGTAAAACAAGACTTTAAACCAGGAAACCAGGTAAACCAGGATAAACCAGGTAAATCATGCTAAACCAGGACTGTGGACTAAACGTGTCTAAACCTCGTCTTTCTATCAATAATATTTTTAATTTGGTTCAATAATGTCTGGGCTTTTCATTTTCTTTTAGCAAACAAAATCTTATGTTAAGATTTCCTCCTCTTTGCTTCTCTACAGCAAATCAAGTAATCCAAAGTATTCAGATTACGTTACTCACTTTAAGTAATTTAATGGATTACGTTACAAACTACATTTTGCTGTGTGTAATCTGTAATCTGTAGGGGATTACATTTTAAAAGTCACCTTCCCAACACTGCCTGTAATCAAATATAGCCTTATGTTTTTAGTAAGCAACATCATTATCCTCGGAAAATTATATTATATTATATTCACAAGTGCAAATACAACAACAGACGAAAAAGCGTTCCGGACTTTAATGCCTTTTTAAAGCCCTTAATTTAATGACTTGCTTTAAAGGTTGTATAGAGGATTTTTTAAGGGAAGCGAAATACAGCGACAGTCCTTTTTCAAATGTTGTGCATGTGTGACACCACCTTCCTCAGTAGAAACATCTCCTTCCGCCTCTTTACTCTAGAAATCACATTTGTTTACATCCAGTGCGTGTTCAGAATTACTGTTGAAGTGACCTGCCTAGAAATATTTTAGCGACCGACGCGTCAGTTTTTAGACCCTTCGGACTTTCTTTTGCGGCGAACTGGTCGTGGATTCTCGTCCGCCGTCGCAACAAACTTTGTGCGAATTGCGAGGAAGCGACAGTTTGAAAAAGCCTCAAAGAACCGCTGCATAAACCACGTAATCCCCGAGCGCCGACGACTCAGTTACACAAAAAATGTAGGGAGTTTGACTGACAACCTAACAGCCAATAGAAAAAGAGGGAGCCTCGTTTTCTATTGGCTGATGTTTATCTGGCCTCACTATGTCCACAACTGATAGATTTTCATTCTTTCTTTTTTTTTTTTTCGGTCATCATAATTAAAAGGCTGCTGCGTCTCTGTAATGGTATTTTAAAACTTTCAATGACAATTTTAAACAAAAAAAAAATCCTCCATACAACCTTTAATGCTGCTAAAATACTTTCTTTTATGATTCAAGCGTTAATATGAGAAGCCCTAATTATGTTTTCGCCGCTTCTCTTTCTAATTTTTCCTTTTATAAACTGCGTATTAATTAGTGTATTGTAATTTGTCTAACTTCATAAAAAAATAATAATAAAAAATACAGACAGCTGGCGGCAGGGGCAGAGTTTGAAGTGTGGATAAATGTCAGAAGAAACACACTGTTCCTTTACCTCCAGACCTCGTTCCTCCGCCGCCTTCGCTCTTCCCTTTAGTCCTTCAGATCTCGTCCCTCCTCCCTCCTCGCTCTTTTCTTTAGTTCAGTTACTGCGCAGTAAAAGTGGGACTAAATGCCCAAAAAACACCCAAAACCACATTCCAATTAAAACTGCAAAACTGAGGGGGATGGTGTGGGAGGACTAAAGGGGAAAGTGAGGCGGGAGGAGGGGTCTGGAGGTCTAAAGGGGAGAGTGGGAGGGGAGGAGGGGCGGCAGGGGGAGTAAATGGGGGCGGAGGGGAGAGATGTGGAGGACTAAAGGGGGAGGGAGGAGCGGTGGCGTCTGGAGGACTAAAGGGGACAGTGAGTGGGGAGGACAGGTGGCGTCTGGAGGACTAAAGGGGGGAGTGAGGAGGGAGGACAGGTGGAGTCTGGAGGACTAAAGGGGAGAGTGGGAGGAAGGACGGGCAAAATCTAGGGGACTAAAGGGGAGAGTGAGGAGGGGCGAGATCTGGCGGACTAAAGGGGAAAGTGAGGAGGAGGGTCTGGAGGTCTAAAGTGGTGATTGACGGGGGAGGAGGGTCTGGAGTTTGAAAGGGGGGAGTGAGCAGGGAGGAGCGGTGGCGTCTGGAGGACTAAAGGGGACAGTGAGTGGGGAGAACAGGTGGCGTCTGGAGGACTAAAGGGGAGAGTGAGTGGGGAGGACAGGTGGAGTCTGGAGGACTAAAAAGGAGAGTGGGAGGAAGGACGGGCAAAATCTGGCGGACTAAAGGAGAAAGTGAGGAGGAGGGTCTGGAGGTCTAAAGGGGGGAGTGAGGAGGGAGGACAGCAGAGTCTGGAGGACTAAAGGGGAGAGGAGAAGTAAGCTCTGGAGGAGTAAAGGGGAGAGTGAGGAGGGGCGGGATCTGGAGGACTAAAGGGGAGACGAGAAGCGAGTTCTGGAGGAGTAAAGGGGAGAGTGAGGGAGGGGCAGAATCTGGAGGACTAAAGGGGGGGAGGAGAGGCGAAGATCTGGAGGAGTAAAGGGGGAATTAGAGGGAGGTCTGGAGGACTAAAGGGGAGAGTGAGAGGGGTGGAACAGTGGCGTTTGGAGGACTAAAGGGGAGAGTGAGGAGGGAGGAAGGGCAAGATCTGGAGGCCTAAAGGGGAGAGTGAGTGGGGAGGATGGGCAGCGTCTGGAGAACTAAAGAGGAGAGGGAGGAGGGGTGAGATCTGGAGGACTGAAGGTGAGAGTGAGGGGGAAGGAAGGTCTGGTGAACTAAAAGGGAGAGAGAGGAGCAAGGTCTGGAGGACTAAAAAAGAGAGTGAGAGGGGTGGAACAGTGGCGTTTGGAGGACTAAAGGGGAGAGTGAGCGGGAGGAAGGGCGGGGTCTGGCAGGTGAAAGTGGAGAGTAAGGGGGAGGAGGGGCAAGATCTGGAGGTCTAAAGAGGGGGGGGTGGCATCTGGAGGACTAAAGGAGAGAGTGAGGGGCAGGATCTGGAGGACTAAAGGGGAGAGTGAGGGGCAGGATCTGGAGGACTAAAGGGGAGAGTGAGGGGCAGGATCTGGAGGACTAAAGGGGAGAGTAAGGGGGAGGAGGGGCAAGATCTGGAGGTCTAAAGAGGAGAGTGTGGGGTGGGATCTGGAGGACTAAACGGGTGAGGAGCAGTGACGTCTGGAGGTATAAGGAACAGTGTGATAAAGTTGATTTAGTATTTAGTTCCACTTTTAACAGCTCTGTCTGAAATGTGGTTTTGGGTGGAGTTTAGATGTTTAGTGCCACTTTTAGAGGGTAGTTGAAAACAGGAATTTTCTGGCCACTCACGCCCTGAATGCAGGACAGTACAGGAGTCACTTTGCTGACCTGAGCGTCCCCTCTTGTGCTTGTGTTTGTGCAGATGCTGCTGTTTGAGAAGGCTCCGTTTGAAGGCCAGGTGTACGAGGTGCACAGAGATGTAGAAGACGCCACGTTCATGCAGTTTTCTCCTCTGGTGTCGGTCAGGGTGGTCAGAGGATGGTGAGTACAACTTTATAAACACAAGAACACACACAAAACAGCTTCAAACCCCACGTAATTGGAAGCAGGGAAGAGTTAAACGTGTGAGAATGAAACAAAACACAGCTCCAAGTCCATTATTTTAAATTTGCTGTATGTACTCTTTGTATATTGTAACTTTGCATATCTCCAAAACAAATGTGTTATTGCTTTTCATTTTTCAATATAACTCCTAACCCCCAAGAGCTCAAGATTTTAACTCCAGTCTAGTGAAGTCTAGCTGAGTCATTTTCTGAAAGTCTTCTTTATTTTTAAAAAACCCAAAACAAAACAGAGCTGTGGCACGTAGATAACAGTAAGTCAACACCAAATATTCCCCTGCACAAATACAACAAACATAATAATTGGCGGTTTCTAGGACAGTTTTGCCTCCTTCCATCTGCGGATTTGAACACGCAGAGCTGTAACCATGGTGATAAAAGCTTATTTTCAGACAATAAAACATACTTTTCAAAGTATTAAGCGTTGTTTCAATTTTTTAATACTGTACGTCGGAATATAAAATAGACCCTGGCTGTGTCCGAATGTCCACGCAAGTCCCTAACCTACGGAAGCCGAGAGGGGTCACAACAAACGCAAACGCCGCAACAAATACAAATGCGACAACACAACAAAAAGCCACAACACACCAAAAAAAAGCCACAACAGAAATGACCGCGGGACTCTATTTTAATGCAAACGCCACAACAAATACAAACGCAAATGCCACAACAGAAGTGACCGCGGGACTCTATTTTCCGACGGACTGATCAAGCGGCAAGTGAAGAAGAAGAACTACAACGTGAAACGAATAATGATAAAACAATAAATTACTTTTACTTACGTTTCCAACTTCTCCGTTCCTTTACTTTTCACGTTGTAGTTCTTCTTCTTCACTTGCCGCTTGATCGGCAAGAACAGTCTAACGTAGTCTGGCTCACAGCGAGGACTTGTTCACAAAAATGCACTTGAATAAAACATTGCTGAACCAAACACAACCAAAGCAATAAATAAAATGGATTAATAAGTCTCTGTAACAAAATTGCTCTTAAAAGTTATTTTAGTCGTTGATTTACATTGGAATATTGTGTCTTGTCTCTCTGTGGCTTCTGCTGTGGCCTCGGCGTTTTGGTCATTTAAGTGTTCGTATTAACCTGTGACACAGGATCCTGTTTCGCTCTGAGGGAGTCTCTGTTCTGTCTGGTATCGTGTCGGTGTCTAGTGGGATTTCAGTGGATTTCGTGCTCTCCCTGGGGCGGGGTTAGTTGAGTCGCTCGGATTTGGGTTTATGTCGACTGTTGAGGTTTGACACATTTCTTCTCGTCGTTTGCGTTTCACTCGCTGCATTTGACGCACGTGGCTGTTGAGACGTGTCCCACTCACCAGTGTTGATTCGGCATCGTGACTTGTTTTGGTGCTCGGCGATGAACTGTTTTGGTTCTGACGGCGGCGCGTTGTGTTGCGGCTTCGTGTTCAGCGCACAGACAGCGGCGTTTTCTGCACTCAGGCTGCGCGCGCATCCGCTGTGCTGATGAACACACGGTTCAAGCGTCATTACTCTTGTTAAACGAGCGGAGTCAGAGAGCGACAGAAAACTTCTAACATCCAGTCTCTTTGAGAAAGAGAGAGAGCGAGGAAAACAAACAAACATGCACATAGAATTTATCGCGGCCAGGAAAAGTTATCGAAGCTCGTTAAAAGTTATCGTGCAATTAATTGATTTATTGATTATTGTTACAGGCCTAGTAAAGGTGGAAGGAAGTTGAGGTGAGAGTCAGATTTGTTTTCTACTTTTGCATATTTATAAAAGGCAGTATGGGTGACGTAGGCTTGTGGACGGAGCATTGCACACAGAGATTAGTCAAACTTACATGGATGACTTGCATGGGCGACAGTAGCTCAGTTGGCAGAGCGTTTGTCCACTACTCCGAAGGTTGGCGGTATGAGTGCCGCTCTCGACATAAACATCATTGGTTGGCGCAATTTCAGCTCCCAGTGTTGTCGTGTCCTCGCCTCCAGTGTCTCTGTACATTTCTGTGTGAATGGGTGTGTTGTTGTAAAAGCATGTAAAGAGTGTCTTGAAGGTGGAAAAGCGCTGGATGACATCTAAAACCTCTTCAGGTCTGTTTTTGAGGAGGCAAGAATATTATATAAGATGGTAGACAGCTTCAAAAAGTCCAATTTGTCTGCCATGTCTCGTCTTTAAAAATGTCACTCTTTCATGAATACGATAATTAAAGTGTCAATGTCAGGGGCACAGTTTTTGATGTTATGTTTGGTGATGGCTTTTCTGCGGTGACAAAAATGCGATCAATTATTCAATTCAAAACGAAATGAAATAACGAATACTTTTAGTGGTTGCAATTAGTGAATCACAAAGGCTGCAAATACTGAGACGAAATGTCCTTCTGTCAGCCCCCAATCTGAGTCATTTACACAATTTTTTTTTTGAGTACTGTATTTTTCAGACGATAAGGCGCACTGAAAATCCTTTAATTTTCTCAAAAATCGACAGTGTGCCTTGTGTATTGATTCTCTCTGGTTGTGTTTACTGCCCTTGAACCAATTTTCTCTGGTACACGGCGCTCAAAAATCTGTCAAAATGTTTTAGTACGACTTTTGTAAACTACAAAGCCGCACCGCTTGATGGATTGCTGGAGTATTACTACATTACATCGTAGTCAGGAGCCTCGAGGACTAAGTATCGTATTTTCCGGGCTATTAGATGCGCTCTTAAGCCTCTAACCGCATCAAAAAACGACGCGCCCCATACACGAATCCACTCGGGTGTCCCAGCACGACTTCAGTAAACTGCAAAGCCGCACCATCCGCAGAACACACAAACACACACGGAGCAGACAGCGACCGCACAGAGAAAAACACCCGCAGACACACTCATCACTCCACGATGACGAGGAACAGAACGAAGGAACGAACCAAAAAAGGGAGTGCAATGTGCCACTTCTAGACACGACTGAACAACTGAGTCACTGCGAACACGCCGACAATCCAGCGGTCCCAGACACACCCTCCATACACGCCACAAATGAACAAAGCTCCCTTTAAAGTCCAGTGCGGTTTATTTGTGAAAAAAGTTCAAAAATAGACCTTTGAAAGACAGTGCGCCTTATAATGCAGAGTGCCTAATAGTGCAGAAAATACGGTTAGTAAGTCAGACAGAAACTGAACTGCGTCAAGGCACAAGGAGCACACTGTGGTTTTAAGTTTCGTTTTGTTTCCCAAAGACTCGGTTGCGACCCTCCGGTGGGTTGCAAGAGATTTTTTTTGGTTGCCTTGTTGCCTTCGCTCAGTTTCATTTCTCTCCAGCGACTAGGGCAGGAATCCAAAAACACTAGACGTTTCGCAAAAACCCCGGAAGTGCGAGTTCGGGCACCAGCCAATCAGCGAAGAGTCAGACATTCTGTGTTGGCAACGATTCCCGAGATCGAGGATTTAAAGTTGGAATAAAGAGAATGTTTGGTGAATTTTATCAAGGGAAAGACGTTATTGTCCTTCTTCCTATGAGATTTGGGAAAAGCTTAATATACCAGTTAACCCCGTTAGCAGTGCATTACATACGTCACGACCAAATAACAGCGATTGGTTAAAAAAAAAAAGTACCCGCCTACCGTCGAGCGAACGAATCCTAATGCTGTGAGGTCAGACGGTTTCCACCAAGTGAAACCGGCTGATGAATCAAGCTGGTGACAATCTGCATGTAGGTTGAAAATGTTAAGACAAGTTTTGTATAATTTCTAATCTTTTTGTAATTATTTTATCGACTATTTTGTTCCAATATTGCTGGTTCAATTGAAGGTTGAAAAGAAAAAGAAATGTTCTACATTTAATGTCCAAATCGGCGACTTTTATTGCTGCTTCAGTGACTGTTTTTCATTGTTTAAAACTTGAGTAATACTAATTGTTTCTGAGTCAACACTAAAATATCCTCTTTAATGTTCAATAATGGTCAAATCCACCTTTATTTGGTGATTTATGAATGATGTCTTCGCTTGGGTTGCGAAGGTTTGTGAATTTTTAAAAATGTGGGTCCCCAGAAAAAAAAAAAAAAATTGGGAAACACTGCTTTAAAACGTAAACAAATGTACACAAAGCTGGATTAAACTCATTATTACTCAATGTATATCTGAGTCGTCCTCGTAGGAAATAAAAATCCAAACTTAAATGATCCTCACACGTTCACATTCATGATACACATTCACAACGCCGCGCGAATTACGCCACGATCTGCTGCTGGATCGTGGACGCCTGGGCTAAGGATCAGTCTCAAGTGTCGTCCGTTTGTTTCTCTTAATGCTCCTTATAATCCGGTGCGCCTTATGTTTGAAAATAGATGAGAGAATTCAACATTTTTGATATTGTGCCTTATAATCCGGTGCAAAAAATATGCTAAAATGTGTCTTTCCTCGGTACAGATCTGTTGTATAAGCAGCTCTTGAGGTCAGAACATGTCACCCGGACTGTCTGCACCGTCTTGTTAAGGGCTTTATTCTCTGACAACTGTTTTTTTCGTTATTATGAGCTTTATCATCACGACGAAACTCAGCTCTGGTCTCTGAAAAGTTGCGAAAGTGCTTATAAACTCATTGTGGCGAATAATGAGGATACTTCATGTGAACGGGCAATAACTTTGGACCACTGCGCACACTTTAAATAATGTTGCCAAAGAGCGTTGCATAAAATAAAACACGCTTTAACTAAATTCAAAATCTAGAAAAAACAAGGGCAGATTTTTAGTCAAATGTTAAAGAGGGGGTTATTATGCAAAATTGACCTTTTGGAGCTTTTCATCAACCCACAAACCCACGTCACCCAGGCTCCCACTCGACACTTCTCCATAAATTTACAAAAACACGACACAAAACTGAACACTGTTAATTCTTTGTCCCCGTCGAGTATAGTATTTTCAAGACAATAAAAAAGAACATGGTGATTAGGGCTGGGGATCATAAAGAAGTTGCCGATATGATACGATACGCTTTTCGATACAGTGAGCTTTCGATTCAGTATGATTCGGTACGATATATTTCACATTGATTCGATACGGTTCAGTGAAAAACAAAGGCTAAATCATGGCTGCGATACTAAAAGTCAACTAAGTCCACTAAGTTTGTGCAAAGTTAATGTGAAAAACTAGTCTGATTCATCAGCCGGTTTCACTTCGTGGAAACCGTGTGACCTCGCAGCATTAGGATTCTTTCGCCCAACAGTAGGCGGGTACTTTTTAATTTAACCAGTCGCTGCTGTTTGGTCGTGACGTATGTAATATACCAAATCCCGTAGGAAGAAGGACAATAACGTCTTTCTTCTTGATAAAATTCACCAAACATTCTCTTTGTTCAAGCTTTAAATCCTCGATCTCGGGAACCGTTGCCAACGCAGAATGTCTGTCTTCGTCTACGTCCATCTCGACGTTTCGTTTACTGTTGTGCTGTTCCACAAAAGGGACACAGAGAGATGCTTGTTTTTGACGTCGTGGCTTCAGAGCTCTTCACTGATTGGCCGGTGTGCGATCTACAACGTCCGGTGTTTTTGCAAACCGTCTAGTGTGTTCCGATTCCTGATCTAGTCGCTGGAGAGAAATGAAATTGAACGGAAGGCACTCGGTGGTACCAACCTGGGTAAAAAACACTAGGGATGTAACAATAACCAAAATATCGTGATATCGTATCGTCAAAGTTCTCACAATAATATCGTGGAACATCACAATATATCGAATTACAAGTCTCTTTGCTTAACTGAAGAGTTATGGTGCAGCAATAACTCAAAAAAGACAGAGGGAACTACATAGACCATGATCCTTTGCTCCATTTCAGTGCAGACGACAAGAAGAAATAACAGTTCTAACACTTTTAAGTCTAAATCCAAAGAACTAAGTCTTGTCAAGGAATTTTAAGAGAAAAAAGTAGCATATTCACAGTTTTAGTTGTTTGGCCTCCACAAAGTATCACAATAAATATCGTGCAGAGAGATTTGGATATTGTTACATCTCTACTCGTGAGCCTCCCCATATCATATCGTGAGCTTTCCCATGATATCGCAATAAATATCGTATCGTGAGGTTCATACCGTGATGATATTGTATCGTGAGACTTGGATATACTTACACCCCTAAAAAACAGACCATTTTTTTTCTCACAACAGTAGAAAAATGTCAACAGAACCTGTTTAGCCTCTGTACAGACAAATTAATTTTAGTCCTGTAAAAAATACCTGGTTTAAAAATAGACTGGTTTACCTTTTAGATGATAGTAGTCCTGGTTTAGTACCTGGTTTAGTCAGACCCACCTGATGTTTACTGATTCAGCACATTAAACGATACGATATATTGATATTTTGATATTTTTGCACACCCCTAATGGTGACCTAAATATGTTCTGTGTTAAATATAATGTGACATGTCGATTCTAACCTGTAACCTCATATTCCTGTTGTGTTCAGTGCAGTGTCGGGGAGTAACAGATTACATGTACCGGAGTTATGTAATCAGAGTACAAATTATGAGTAACTGTATTCAGTTACAGTTACTGTTTCAGTGAGTGGTAATTGGATTACAGTTACTTTGTTGAAATAAATAGATTACACAGAGGTACTTTCCTGTTTTCACATTTTGGGCTGTTCCCCTTTTTTTTCTTTTTTTCTTTTTTTTTCGGTAATTCCACTCATTGCCGGAAACTAAAACCAGGTCCAAACCAGAACTAAACCAGACTAAAACCAGATCTAAACCAGACTAAACTAAACCAGGTCTAAACCAGGTCTAAACCAGGTCTAAACTAAACCAGGAAACTAAAACCAGGTCTAAACCAGAACTAAACCAAGAAAAGCAGGTCTAAACCAGGACTAAACCAGGACTAAACCAGGTCTAACCAGGACTAAACCAAGACTAAACCAGATCTAAACCAGGACTAAACCAGGTCTAAACCAGAACTAAACCAAGACTAAACCAGATCTAAACCAGGACTAAACCAAGACTAAACCAGGTCTAAACCAGGACTAAACCAGGACTAAAACCAGGTCTAAACCAGAACTAAACCAAGACTAAACCAGATCTAAACCAGGACTAAACCAGGTCTAAAACCAGGTCTAAACCAGAACTAAACCAAGACTAAACCAGATCTAAACCAGGACTAAAACAGGATTTAACAGGACTAAATCATGCTGCGTGGACCGTGTCTCATCTTCTATCAATAATATTTTTAATTTGGTTCAGTAAAGTCTGGGCTTTTTCTTTTCTTTTAGCAGATAAAACATCTTATGTGAAGATTTCCTGGTCTTTGTTCCTGGTAGATTATTCTGGTTTTTGCTTCTCTACAGCAAATCAACTAATCCAAAGTATTCAGATTACATTACTCACTTTAAATCATTTAATGGATTATGTTACAAACTACATTTTGGTTTATGTAATCTGTAATCTGTAGGGGATTACATTTTAAAAGTCACCTTCCCAACACTGGTTCAATGTGACAGTGTTTGTGTGTTTGTTGTGTCCACAGTTGGATCCTCTACGAGAAGCCCGGGTTCCAGGGTCGGACCATCGCTCTGGAGGAGGGCGGCCTGGAGCTGGCCAACGTGTGGGCCCAGCCTGAGCCCGGTCCTGGTCTAGACCCCGGACTGGACCCCGACCTAGACCCACAGGTGCCCATGCAGATCGGCTCCATACGTCTGGCCGTGTCCGTAAGTGTAACGATAATTCTTCACTATCGACTGTACGAGCTGAGAATAAGAGTCTGAGTAAATGTAAAATGAGGCTAAGTTTATACGATGACGGTTTGAACAAAAGGCGCGAAAGGAAAGTGGCGTCGCGTCTTCACTTTTTATTCCGCGTTTAGACAAGTGTTTTTAGAAGGAAATCTGCATGCATACAGTGACGCAAAAGTGTGGAATTCGATTGTTTTTGCATGCCAGACGACTCAGTGGTGATGTACGTGATGTGAACATGTACGTGACCTGAGCAGACCTGACCAGAGTTTTGCGTCTTGGGCAGTGTCGACGGAAACACTACGGCGGAGCATTTTCAACTTTTCCACTCTGGAGGGTGGTTTCAGATTTTTGCGTTTTTAAGCCTCAAAAACGCCGTCAGCGTCTAAACAAAAGGCACTTCTGATGAAATAGTTTGTCATTTTTAACCTTCTCGTGTAAACAGGGCCTAAAATACCTAATTCAGATGTTCTTGGTTGGCTCACGTTGACATTTTTAACGTAATATTTGGGGAATTTGACAACTAAGAAGTGCATCGTTCATACTTCAAAGGACAGAAGATAAGGACAGTTGGATTCTGTGATCCAAGTTTGTTTTTCCTGTATCGCCTTAGATACAGGAGTTAGATATGTGAACCAGCAGTGTTGGGAGGAACGTGTTATGAAAGTAATGAATTACTGTAATGCATTGCTTTTTGTTGTAACGCAGTAATGTTCGGCATTACAGGGAAAAAAAATTGTCATATTTTACTCAGTGTGTTTAGAACTGTTATTTCTTCATCTAGTCTGCACTGAAATGGAGCAAAGGATCATGGTCTATGTAGTTTTTTAGCTCTTGCTGCACCATAATTCTTAATTTAAGCAATAAATTAATGTAATTCGATACATTGTGATGGTCCATGATGTTATTGTGAGAACTTTGACGATACGATGTCACGATATTTTGGTTATTGTTACATCCCTAGGCATTACGGGGAAAAATTTAAATATTTTACTTGGTACAAATGTGAGTAACACACATCACAATTAATTTTTAACCTGGATTGAAGTGGTGGGTTTTTCGTTTTTCTTCATACAAATATCAGCAGCGGTGAAACGCCGTCGTTACGGTTCCGAGTGTCGGGATGGGCCTGGAGGTGCGCCTTACGTAGATCGTCGGTTAACCCCTGGTGAAAGGACTAATCGCCGCCGACGCCTTATCGCGCTTTGCAGACACCCTGGGTTCTCTCAGGGGCGGTTCTAGATTCCAAGTCCTAATCCAAGATTAGTCCTGGTTTAGTCCTGGTTTAGAGCTGGTTTAGACCTGGTTTAGACCTGGTTTAGACCTGGTTTAGTCCTGGTTTAGAGCTGGTTTAGGCCTGGTTTAGTCCTGGTTTAGCCCTGGTTTAGTCCTGGTTTAGACCTGGTTTAGTCCTGGTTTAGTCCTGGTTTAGTCCTGGTGTAGTCCTGGTTTAGTCCTGGTTTAGACCTGGTTTAGACCTGGTTTAGACTTGGTTTAGACCTGGTTTAGTCCTGGTTTAGAGCTGGTTTAGACCTGGTTTAGTCCTGGTTTAGTCCTGGTTTAGTCCTGGTTTAGACTTGGTTTAGCCCTGGTTTAGACCTGGTTTAGACCTGGTTTAGTCCTGGTTTAGACCTGGTTTAGTCCTGGTTTAGACCTGGTTTAGCCCTGGTTTAGTCCTGGTTTAGAGCTGGTTTAGTCCTGGTTTAGTCCTGGTTTAGACCTGGTTTAGTCCTGGTTTAGCTCTGGTTTAGTCCTGGTTTGGACCTGGTTTAATCCTGGTTTAGCCCTGGTTTAGTCCTGGTTTAGCCCTGGTTTAGTCCTGGTTTAGACCTGGTTTAGTCCTGGTTTAGACCTGGTTTAGACCTGGTTTAGACCTGGTTCATTTGTGGTTTAGACCTGGTTTAGCCTGGTTTAGTCCTGGTTTAGTCCTGGTTTAGTCCTGGTTTAGACGTGGTTTAGACCTGGTTCATTTGTGGTTTAGACCTGGTTTAGACCTGGTTTAGACCTGGTTTAGTCCTGGTTTAGTCTGGTTTAGTCCTGGTTTAGACCTGGTTTAGACCTGGTTCATTTGTGGTTTAGACCTGGTTCAGTTCTGGTTCAGTCTTGTGCTGCAGGTAAGACGGAGGTGGGATGGTAATTTACAAATTACCAGACGTCCCCAGGTTGGACTTATCCTGTGTGACTGGTTCTATTGACTGAGATCGAAAGAGAAAAGAAAGAGATAGAAAAGACAAAATTACAACAACAAACACTGAGATGCAGATTCGAACGTCTGTGTTTGGCGAAATATATTAGGTCATTTGCGGCGAAATTTTTACTTTACAAATTACAGACTTGGCGTATTCACACGGGATTAAGATCTGAGGAATCCTCCGGAATGATTACAAATCACCAAAGGTCCACAGGTAAAACTAATCCCCTGTGATTAAGGCTTTGGACTGAAAAACACACTGGAACAAGACGAGAATGTTATTTTTTCTTTTTTTTTAATTCACATTTTTATTGACAGTCCAATAACGATGACAGTTTCAAATCACAAATGTACAATTTGCTTTTTTGTTCCCCCTTCGTTCTTCTTTCACTTCACATATCTCTTTATTATAGTATGGAAAATTTCTTCTTCTTTTTTTTTTCCTTATTCCGTTAAGAATACGTAGTAAAAAAATAAAATAAAAAAAACAAGAAAAAAAATAAATTTGAACATTTGATTAATAGTGGACAGGGATTGTCACTGATGTTCCTTTGTTTTTTTGTTTGTTTTTTTTAATTCTAATTTTTATTGACAGTCCAACAAAGGTGACATTTCACATCTCAAATGTATAATTTGCTTCCTCCCCCCTTCATTCCTCTTTCACTTCACATCTCTTTATTATAGTATCAAAAATTACTTTCTTTTTTTTTTTTTTTTTTTTTTTTTCCTTATTCCGTTAAGAATACAAAGTAAAAAAAAACTAAGCAAAAAATAATATTTGAACATTTGAGCAGTAGTGGACAGGGATTGTCACTGATGTTCGTTTTTTTTTTTTTTTTTTTTTTTTTTTTTTCTGGTGTTTTCCATGGTTTCCATGGTTTCCATCTTTCCTCATACCTGTCGTATTCCAATCTTTGTGTGTCAGTCTTTCCGTTTGTGAAATGTCTTTCAACAATGTTAATCCAGTCCTCTAAATTCGGTAGTTTGTCTCATCCATTTTTTTGGTTATTGCTTTCTTGCTTGCAACCAGCAGAATGTTCCACACAGTTTTTTATTCCTTTGACGTCATCTGTCCGTTTGTTTTATTTGTATTTTCTCCCATTATTGATTCAATTTGGGGCAGCTTTAAAAAACATGATAACGCCCAGACCGAGACGAGAATCTTTTAATCATCAAGTTCCCAAAGCTGCTTTTATTTTCAGTTTGTTTTTAGCAGAACGCACCTGCACCGTATCATCCCACGCTGCGTTTGTGTTCACACTGATGCGATCACAGTGACATCCACACGATCGGATTTTTCCCGAAACAGCCACCGTCTCTCTTTCTCTCTCTCTTTTAATCCGTTCACGCTGCACGGTCCCTCCATCCAAACTTTACAAACTTTGCTTCAAAACCTCCAAACTTCTCCACAGAGGCTCCGTGCTGCCGGTCCTCGGTTGCCACGACAACGAGGCTGTACGTCCAGGTCGTTTTACCGCACTCTGATTTATGTTTTTAATCGTAGAAAAACACAATAACAGGATTAGAGTATCGTCCAGGGATGGGCAGTTATTTTTTTCCATAGAGCCGCATGAGAAACAGAAAATATTGTGGAGGGTCCGGCCTAAATGCTTAACTCAATTCTGCGTAATATTAATTGTATTTCTTTCTAAAAAGTGGTAAAAATAATTGTTTTGACGAGCTGCTCACTGATAAGAAATTATGTTATGACTAAGCAATGAAAAAGCGAGGCTGCCTTACAAAAAATCATTTAAAAACACCTCTAAAATAAAAGTAATGCAGCTTTTCGTGCATGAGGTAAAATTATAAAATGTGTTTGTTTTGTAATTTCAAATGAGCTTAAACAGGCCGGTCAGAGGTTCATGGAGAATACATATTGTTGATTTAGTTTGCATTTGGTCCAAAAATGGGCCGTAGAGACGTTTTCAATCACTGTGAGCTTCATCTCCCAGACATGAGCGCTCACATGAGACTAGATCAGGGGTGCGCAATACATCGATCCTGATCTACCAGTCGATTGCCAAGGTCGTGTGGGTAGATCGCCGTGTCTCGTCTCTGACTCGATCGCGTTTGGACTCGGTCTTGTCTCTCACTCGAGGTCTGACACTCAACAAGTTCGATCATATTTCATTCCGGCCGCTGCTGTTGGTAATAAACTTGTAGCGGGTGCAGGAGCGTGTGGGGCGTCTCAGTGCAGCCTGTGCGCTCATTTGAAACCCGCGGAGACTCTACGGCGCATCACAAACACACACGCTCCCTATGCACGGCTCGTCTGCGACAGCGTGTGCCCTCGTGTACCAGCGTGCATCACAGGGCAGGTTCAACTTCCTGAACATCCTACCTGTCCACCTGCCTCACGTCAGCACGCCGCCCCTCGCCTTTTCACGCTCTCGCTCCTTCCTGCGTACAGCGAACACAAGCCCCTCCCACAGTGCGGCTGATTAGAAGAGCAAGACCAAACGTGAAGCAAAAACCTAAATTTGTGTTCCAGTGTTGGCACAAAGCAGGTCTACAGCATAGAGCGGATCTACAGAACAGACCTACTGCCACATTTGGCTGAAGTTTGTCTAACAAAAGTGCACAAATGCATCTGTGTTTGTCACGATGTGCGTTTGGTTTGGTAAACGTGCAGAGGCTGGTAAATATCACTGCAAAACCAGAAAAGAATGTAACTCCAGTTTGGAACTTTAAAAAACGGAAGGTTTAAAAATCTTCCTTTACTTTTTTCACAGTTTTGTGTAAAGTGCCAGAGGAAGTTCTCTTAAAGAAGAGGTTCTCAAACTGTGGGTGAGGGTCCAAAAAAGGGGCACAGAGTGTTTCAGTGCAGTTTGCTTGGCTTTGTATTAGGTAGATCATTTTGACCTGGTCATTTTATAAGTAGCTCGTACATTGAAAAAGTGTGAGCACCGCTGGACTAGACTCACCTGAGGAGCTCTGAGTTTGCAGAATTGGCTCTGTTCACGCTTACTTCACAAACCATGAAGACGTTTGGAAAGCTGCGATGACAGCTTCCAGTGTAGTTCCGGACAATAGACTCGCCGACCGACTGTGATCAAAACCGTTGAAGTAAATGTGATCAGCGGTAAAATTAAGACTGTTTGGAATCATCTAGAATTTGGCACCTCGTCTCCTCTAATTGCATGTACCGTCAGAGTTGTGTGTCCAGTGGCGGAGTTGGCAATTTGGGGGCCCTAGGCAAACTTGAGTTTTGGGCCTTCACCATAATGCACCATTTTTTCTGTTTTTTTTTTTTTTTTTTTTTTTTTTTAAATACAGTTACTGTCTGTTTTTCCCCACTAATCTTGAGACATGCACAACTCATGCACATATTTATTTGAATTTAAGTGGATTGGAAACTTGTCTTACTATCATATTTTAGTTTAAATCCATTGCATATTATTATGATTATTATATGTCATATTGAATCAAATTGCTCTGAAGCCTCGGCCATTAGTGGCACTGAGGGCAAATTGGTTTGGGGGCCCCTCCAGGTTTGGGGGCCCTAGGGAGCCACCTACTTTTGCTTAATGGTAGCACCACCTCTGTGTGTGTCAGTGGGGAAATGATGAAAACTGAGGTCTGGTTGTAATTGTTGTTTAGGCGAAAATAACGTAACGCTACAGTGATATGGAGATGAAGAAAACTGGGCCTGGGAAGTTGTAATCACATCTTTCCAAAGTTCTTTCTGGTTTGTGATGTAAGCGTGAATAAATCCTATTACGGCAGGTAAAATTCCGGGAAATTTTTACAGACATTTTGACACATGGACGATTCGCACGGGACTAGAAACACAGACGACTTTCGTATTTATTACAATTTACAAAGGGGCCACAGGTAAAACTAATCCTGTGCAAATCGGGCTTTATTCTGGAATATCTCGACTTTAAACTGAGCTGGAGGCAGGTCAGAAATCTCAAGTGTAGTTTGCTGAGTAACTGATTTGTTGACCTGGTTTATGCTTCGTATCTCTGTACTGACTGGGCCTATTCGATCCATATGATGTAAACTTTAATGCAGCGCCCGCGGACTCTTCTTTATATGTGTCGCTTCGGTAACAAACAAACAAACTGCTCCTCTTTGAATAATAATGTCTTTGTTTGTCCAAATGAAAGCTCCTGGATCGTCCGCACGTTAATCAAACCGTAAAGATCTGACACGGGGACGCAGAGAAACACCCAAATCACGACGTCTGCAAACCTTGAGCTGGAGTGACGTCGCTAATGAGAACTGAACGTCCTTGTGAAAAGAAACGCTCTGAGCTGACGCACATGAAGAGTCAAGTCACATTTTGTTGTTTTGCATTTTTATTTTATAAGCTGTGTTCACCCGGGAGCCCTGATGTTGATTCTCACAACGTTGAATTAAAAAACATAATTTTAAGGTCTTATATATCACAAAACGGACTCTTTTTGTCGTGTTATAAAGCTTTTAATTCGTCAAAAACTCACTTGAATTTCTTTTGTTTCATTCAGTTATGTTTGAATAATCCTGATTTATTACTCTGCCCACGTGTCTAAAGCTCACCTCACCTCGTGATGTCATGAAGTGGTAGATTTCGAGTTGTACTTTTTAGCTAGTTCAGTAGAGATCGGCAATTCCAGAGCTGAAATGATCCAAATGATTCATGTGAAGTTCTGTGGAGTTGGAGTGAACACAGAGCACTTTCCGTATCACCACGTGACGTCACGAGGTGGAACAGAGTGTTTTCAGTTTGAGAGAAGAACTCCTAAAGCCTAAGTGCGCAGGGTTTGTGTGTTAAACATGTGTGAATGAGTGCGTATACATGCACATCAATAACCCGGTTATGATCGGGTTTTTTGAGTATCCCGGTTTCTTGGTGGTGCATGTAAACGCAGTAACCCGGTTTCAGTATCCCGGTTATTAGAAACCGGGTTACTGTAGCTGGTTTATTCCGATAGTAACCGGGTTACTTGTGGCATGTAAACGCAGTATCCCGGTTACTGCAACATAAAGTTGAGTCGCATGCTTCCAAAAGACACTTTCCAGCCTTTCACCACAACAGTAGTGACATAAATAAATTGACCAACATAAATAAAGTGACCAAACGAGTGAAATGACTGTAAAATAAAGAGCTGCGCTAAACCTGCACTCGTACGACCTGCACTCGTACGACCTGCACTCGTGTGACGCTGAAAAGCTAAAACATGAACTATCTCCTATACAACACACACACAGAACACACTTACCATCATCAGCACCTCTTCTGTCACAGAAATAACACACATAATCCACAGAGTCGTGTCATTTAGTCCAAAAAAAAACCTGATCGCATCAGCGGCGCAAGGAGCGAGTTGTTCTTATCGCCGCTAACAGTTTATGCTAATTAGCCAAACGGTCTTAAGTTTCGTTTCTGTAAAACATAAACAAATGTGATCAGAGCTGAATGATCTGATCAAACGGGCTGACGTGTCTATAGTGTTTATGGTTTATATGTTGTAAAGTTGAGTTTTGAGACTAAGATTTTAATGAAGAATCTGCACAGTGGATTGTGGGAGATCTCGTAGCTCCTTAGCTTCTTATGCTAAAGGAGCTCACGGTTTGTATTTTTCCTGGTTTATGAAATTGATTTAAGTTAATTATGTCAAGAAACCGGGATACTCCATTTGATCATGTACACGTGGATATGAGTGTCCCGGTTTCTCAGTGCGCATGTAAACGCAGTAACACGAATACTGACATAACCGGGATATGGCTAATAACCGGGTTATTGATGTGCATGTATACGCACTCAATGAAACAAAACACAACTCCAGGTCTGTTTGCAAATCAGAAAATGGAGTAATATAGGCCCTTGAAAAACTAAAATACAAACCTACAGGAAGGACTTGAAAGCTGTTACTAGTCAAGTTTAAGTTGTTTAAAATTTGTACTCTGAACAGAATAGTAAGTTTTAAACATATGTTGCAAATCTAACCACAGTCACAGTTTTTTTTCTTAAGGCCGCTACACGTTACAGGAGAATTTGCCCGATCTTGGCTGCGATTTGCTTCTCCTCGAGTTCGTGGAGTCGTGACCCAACGTTGTGTCTTCGTGTGCGATTTTGAAGCCGCTGCGCTCCCCGTGTGTGTGGTGTCAGATCGTAACCACCAAACATCAGCAATGCTAAAATAATAGAGCATGAAACAGAGAGTCGCGGGCAGACGGGTGACGGACACATAGGGGCAGGATACAAACTCAGGAAACAGCGAAAATAATGAGAAGACGTTATTCCTCACCTCTCATAAAGTGGTAAATTTAAACCGCAGCATCTCATCCACATTATCCATAGAATTTGTCCTCTGCAAATAATGACCCCAGTCCACAAAACGGCGCTGTTAATCCAGTTTGAGTCGTTCTTTTAAAGTAAAAAGGCCGGAGTAGTTCCTCACGTGTGTCTGTTTACATCCACACAGCGCACGGATCGAGGGGAAGCTGCAGATTGTCTATAGTGACTCCACTTCCTCTGGACTTTATTTACATTCTGTGCATTAAAAATCATGTATCTGAATTTTTTTTTTATTTCTGATGTAGTCCTCTTTTAATCTTGGTCTAGTACTTGTTTAGTCCTGGTTCAACCTTTACCCAATTCTGGTTTAGTCCTGGCTTTGTCCTTACCCAGTCCTGAACTAGTTCTTTGTTTAGTCCCGGTTTTGTCCTGGTTTTGTCCTGACCTAGTCCTTATTTAAACCTGATCTAAAGTAGTCCTGAACTTTTGGACTGCATTTCACAAATAATAATAACACAGTTTTGAGTAGCATCTAAACGAGAAGTGTACTGCTCTGATTTTTTTAACACTTAAGAATCTCAAAGTGAGTTGTTTTGTGCCGGACATACACTGGGATATTTTTGATCTTTTCACTCAAGCTGTACGACCAAATCGCAGGATTTAAAAGTTCACAGCTCACGATTCTTGTTCTCACACTGTACGAACTACAATAATGTGAAACCCTCACGAGAGGCAACTGGATTTCAAACTGGTTTGATGTTCTTGCGACCTACAATTGCCGGTTGTCTACACGAAGCATGACGCACAGTTACACCAAAACTCGGCCTGATCTCAAAAACACGAGTCGCACGAGTGAAAAATCATCTCAAAAAGAGCCAAAATCACACAGTGTACGTCCGGCTTTACTCCAGCCATGAAACAGCTGACACAAGTTGTGCTCACACCCATGTACAATCAGAGATTTAAAATCTCATCAGATTCTCCTTATGTCTGTGGTGTGCGCTTTTTGTTGTTTAAAAATCATTTAAGCCAGAAAAATCCTGTAGTGTGGCGGCCTTTAGGTTTCAGTCTGGTTCGTCTCTGTTCAGAATCTTCCTTTTGCTTCCTCACGTTGCTTATCCCGTCCACTCTTGTGTCTTCTCTCCAGGACTACGCCCTCCCTCACATAGACCTGTTCACCGAGCCGGAGGGGAGAGGACGGGTCACTCCGTACCACGACGACATCGTGGAAACCGGCTCCTTCGGGATCCCCCTGAGCACCTCGTCTATACAGGTCCACTCTGGAGTGTAAGTGCAACTTTACTGGACTTTAACGAGAAGAGATGATGGTACAAGCGCAGCTATCCTGGTTCAGTCCTGGTTTAAATCAGGTTATCTCTGGTCTAGTCCTGGTTTAATCCTGCTTTAATCCTGGTTTAGTCCTGGTCGAGTACAGGTTTAGTCTTGGTTTAGTCCTGGTTTAGTCCTTTCCCAATCCTGATCTAGTTCTGGTTTAGTCCTGGCTTTCTCCTGGTTCTGTCCTGGTTTTATCCTGATGTAGTCCTCTTTTAACCCTGATCTAGTTCTGGTTTAGTCCTGGCTTAGTCCTTACCCAGTCCTGACCTAGGTCTGGTTTAGTCCTGGTTTGTTTCCCTGGTTTAGTCCTTTTCCAATCCTCACCTAGTTCTTGTTTAGTCCTGGTTTTGTCCTGATGTAGTCCTCACTTAATCCTGATCTAGTTCTGGGTTTAGTCCTGGTTTAGTCCTTACCCAGTCCTGAATTAGTTCTTGTTTAGTCCTGGCTTTGTCCTGATTTTGTCCTGTTTGTTTGTTTTTTTTTTCCTAACGTAGTCCTCTTTTAATTTTGGTCTAGTACTGGGTTAGTCCTGGTTTAGCCCTTATCCAGTCCTGACATAGTTCTGGTTTAATCCCGGCTTTGTCCTGGTTTCGTCCTGACATAGTTCTCATTTAACCCTGATCTAGTTCTGGTTTAGTTCTGGTTTAGTCCTGGCTTTGTCCTGGTTTTGTCCTGTTTTTTTTCCTGGTTTAGTCCTTTTTTAATCCTGGTCTAGTCCTGGGTTGGTCCGGGTTTAACTCTTACCCAATCCTGACATATTTCTGGTTTAGTCCTGACTTTGTCCTGTTTTTTTCCTGATGTAGTCCTGGTCTAGTTCTGGTTGGTCCTTAGTCCTTATGACTCTGTTTAGTCCTGGTTTTTCCTTAGTCCTGAACTAGTTCTTGTTTAGTCCTGGCTTTGTCCTGGTTCTATCCTGGTTTTGTCCTGATGTAGTTCCTTTTTCCCTGATCTAGTTCTGGTTTAGTCCTGCTTTAGTCCTTGTTTAGTCCTGATTAGTCCTGGTTTTTGTCCTGTTTTTTTTCCTGATGTAGTCCTCATTTTAATCCTGCTCTAGTCCTGGTTTAGTCCTGGTTTAGTTCCTTACCCAATCCTGACATACTTCTTGTTTAGTCCTGGCTTTGTCCTGGTTTGTCCTGATTTTTTTTTGACATAGTCCTCATTTAACCCTGATCTAGTTCTGGTTTAGTCCTGGTTTAGGCCTTACCCAGTTCTAAACTAGTTCTTGTTTAGTCCTGGTTTTGTCCTGATTTTGTCCTACATAGTTCTCATTTAACCCTGATCTAGTTCTGGTTTAGTACTGGGTTATCCTGGTTTAGTCCCTCAAGTCCCTCCATAACTCTTCAAAACCACTTTTCATTAAAAATATAAAAAATATTAACCGGAAGAAAGAAAAGCGGAGAATGACGAAGAGAACAAACAACTGGAAATATGACATGTATCGGCTTCACTGTGACGAGAAACGTGTGTTCTGAGTCTAAAAACGTCAGTGGACATCGTGAAGACAAATAAATGAAGGCGTGCTTAACCTTTCCCCCTGGACGCGACTAGGACAACCATCATATGTTACTAGGGAACCCATAGAGCATAAAAGAAACAGACTCCCACAAGTGATTATAAATGATTTTTACACTCATGAACGTTAATTGTAACACAGACATATTTGTATCTCTGGAAACCTTAGACTCTAAACTCTTCATTTATGGATGTTTAAATGTGATTCAACTCATTTATAGGTGTATAACAGCTCACTGAAAATGAGAGTTTACCTGGTCAGGTGCAAACTCGAAAACAAAAAAACTACATTCAGCATCTGATATGCATGTTCTGAGAAACTATATTCATAAAAATTAAAAAAATATACTTTGTCAAAGTATTTAAACAGATTTCATATCATCAGATACAGTAAAGCCAAGTGTGCACCTGTTTTTACCTGTTGTTCACCTGTGTCACCTGATAATTTTTTCCATTTTAACTTATTCAACTTATTTTATTTATTCAACTAATTTAGCTTATTATAATATAATAATAAAACTCTTCCCCGTCAGTGTGTGTCCAGTATTTGTCATCTTGGTATTTTCTCGTGTGCAGAGCTCCACATAAGTGTTTTTTCTGTAGCGATTCTGTTATACATCGCATTTGGAAAAAAAGACTGAAATATTTTAAAGGACCCTGGGCAACATCCAGATTTCAGGGCAATTTTGGTTCATAATCGAGTATAAAGCTCAGATAGTTTGTTTGGACATCGCAGGACTCCACACAGACGCATCAGCTGCATTCTCACTTCTCACTCGGAAAGTCGTCTTATCGCTGTTTTCCACTTTATAATCAACTTCATCATCACTTTGAAATCTATAAAAGTCACTTTCTCTAAACTTATCCATAAAAATATCCTCTCCTCATTATTCTAAAACTGTGGGCCGCAGCGCCGATCTTTCCATTGCACGTGTTTGTGTTGTGTTTTTTCCGGAAGCTACCATCGTCACTACTTCGATTAACTTCGGAAAAATCGCGAAAACATATCTTGAATCCTATGGTCAGTCTAGTGTGGTTGTAGTGCCCCGACTATCGCGGTCTCTGTTTAAATGTGAAAAACCGCCGTTTCTAAAGGTCGTCAAATCTCGTCTTTAGTGAAACAGCGAGGAGACAAAGTCGTCATTAAGGCAGGGGGTCATCAAATGTCGTCTTCATGGGGGAAAGTCTCAGCCAAGAGTCCTTAATTTTGAAAATTTAAGGAGTTACACTACACGTGATGGTTAAATCACCCCAATCACGCTGATAAGACGCTTGAGTTTTTTTAGCGAAAACGTGACGAATATTGTCAACAAACATCCGCTTTGTGAATATAAACGACACTATTTATAGTCTCGGCGGAGAGTGGACGAGCGCGACAGAAAATAATTGAGAAACACTGATGTAAAACGTCTTTGAGTATCTTGAAAAGCGCTTTGTTTGTGTTATGTTTTATTATTTACAAGAGTCAATTTTGCGTAATATAAAACCTTTAAACATCTTTATATCCTGACACTGTTGCGGAAAATAGATCCGATTTTCTCATTTAGCAAATCTCGGAGGCGTCGTGTTGCTCATTTAGTCGCTTCATCTGATCTCATCGTGCAGCTCATTTATTTTTCAGAGACTTTCCAACAGAAATTAATATTAAAAGTTTGAAAACTCAGGGTTAATGAGCGCCGAGGAACTAATGACCACAAGACCTGTCACTTGGAAAACTTGAAAAAGTTTTAGGAGTTATTAAATCAGACTTATTCTGCTGTGTGGACTTTTCAGAGATTTTAAACATGTTGTAGTTGTTTACCTTTTTCATTTATTGTGTTTTTCGGATTATAAATTTATTCTACTGTAAAGCACTGGGCTATAAGTCGCACTTTTTGGGGGTTTTCTTCATCCTCGGTGTCACTTCTGAGCAACTCGGCCTCGATCTCGGGAGGTAAACGGATTTATTTATTCAAGTATTCCGGCCTTTCTGAACGCTATACCTGATTACTTTTGTCTTTAAAAATGTGAAAAACAAAGCAGAGCAGATCATTTGAAACAATTTGCAGTGGTTCAAAGTTCTTCCTCGCTTGTCTTATGTCATTCTGAGCATCCAAATTATCCACCTTGATGAGTTGATAAACTTGTATTGACTGATTATCGGACAATAAAACGCTTTTTAATTAGATGCAGATCGTACGCCGCAGACTTATGTTGCCCTCAAACCTGCTTCTACTATTTATCTGTATTGGGCAAGCCACATTTTGCTCTAAAACATGGGAAAAAATCAGTTACAGGGTCTTTAAACTATATATTTTTAGAGTCTCCTAATAATATATATATATATATTTTTTGCCATCCATCCAAAATGTGCTAAAACAAACCTGTAAATACTGTATTTTTCAGAGTATAATTTTAACGTAACATATTAACTATTAACTATATCATAAACAACAACAAGTTTAACAAACTCTCCATCTCACTCCAAATCACTAAATCCATTCAATTCTTCATCCTCGGTGTCGCTTCTGAACAACTCGGCCTCGACCTCCGGAGGGAAACAGAGCGACAGAAACTCTTCTGGTCCGAGACCAGAGCGGGATCAGAGCGGAACTGAGACCAAGACCAGCGGTCCGAGCGGTTCCGTGTCATCGTCTCCGCGCTGGTTCCGTGTGGGGAAAGTGAGAATGTTCTGTGGACTACAGGCCCGGACGGGCTGCTCCAGTCCTCCACACTCAAGAACCGCGGCTGGTTCCGAGGTGGTGCAAAGCCTCCAACTGACGCTTTCACACCAACGAAAACGAACCGAACCAAGAGCTTTTGGTTCAAATGGACCAGGTCCGGGATCAGACCGGGACCAGAGCGCTACTGAGACTGGGACCAGACCGGGACCACAGCGAGCCTGAGACCGAGACAAGACCAGGACCAGACCCGGTCCAGAGCGGGCCTGAGACAGAGACAAGACCGAGACAAGACCGAGACCAGATCGGAGGCTCAGAGCCCACGGCAGGACCGGAGCTCGAAGCTGAGGCTTGGACCCCGTGGAGGCTCAGAGTCAAAGCTTGGAGTCCGCCCCAGTCCTGCTCTGGTCCTGGCCTGGTCCTGGTCTGGTCCCGGTCTGGTCTCGGACCTGGATCAGTCCTAGTTCAGTCCGTACCCGGTGCAAAAGTTATCACTGAAGTCACGTAAACGGGAAACGGCCGTTTTTTCCATTCTTCATTTAAACACAAAATTGAAAACTGAAAAAAACTAATCGTTATCCATTTTTTCATTTTGGTTTTGGAGACAAATAGCAAAGAAAACTGTTGTTTTTTTGTTTTCTTATTTTTGGTTTTATATTGAAAAACGAATGAACGAATGATACATGGATTAGCGCAATTTGTCAATTCCTAGAACTTGTTTTTTTTTTTTTTTTTTACTTTTCTGAATAAAAGCAAGTTGCTAAGACATACAAGAATATT